ACACACACACACACACACACACACACACACACACACACACACACACAGATTGGAGTTCAGATCAGTGCAGATTTTAACCAGCCCATGGGACAACCTCCTTTCAATTAGCGACCCAAACAAGGAAATCACTTTCATCCTTGTTGCTGAGGTAACTCATGGGCCATCTCTCTGCCCATCTGTTTCTTTCTGATCCCATCTTTAAGAGGAGAAATCCCACACCCCTTTCCCCGCAGGGACACATCTTTCCTCCCTCCCGTCCTCCACTCGTCTCCCCGGATTGACATTTCTGTCTTCATTTCACACAGGGTAAACATTTGAACCTCAAAATATCCATCCTAACAAAAGGGTAGCAATTTAGGCCTGGGCTGGGTATATCCATATGGCTGTGTTGAAATGTGACGAGGACAAACAAGAAAGCCACCGCCGAATTACAGAGCACAGGCGGGGCTGAGAGCAGCGGCGGAGCAGAGTTGTAAATGATTAAAGAGGAAAGCTGCATGTGAAAACTCATTTTATGTGTGCTTCTGATTTACTTATTTATGCCACAGGGAGGGGGCACATACAGCCGTGGGAAGCCACTGTGTTCCTCTGTATGTTTTATTGGAGAGTATGAGATACTGTACAATAAAAGGAAAAAAGAAACTATATATCCATGATGCTGCCGGGATATCCATCCATCAGCCAATGTCTGAGGCTACAGCCAGTGTTTGGGTCCCCAGGGTGCCACAGCGGAAATGAAAAACATGTTTAACTGAGGGGATATTAGCCTACTAGTGGCATTGCCGCCTGTCCAGATAGAGCGTGCACAAATAGGAGGAGATGCACAAACACAAGAAGTGAGAGAAAGGGAATGGAGATGGATGGAGAGAAGAAAAAAACATAAAGGGACAGTCTGAGAAAAAGGGGTTGAGGCAGAGTGTTTGTTGTTCTTCTTTTTGTTTGTTATTTAATAGAGTGGTTGATTTCCAAAGACAATAAAAGAGAATTGTACGGCTTCATTAAATCCAGGTTAAAAGGGAGACTTCTAAATCAGTGCAATCCACAATCTAAGAGAGTTTGTCTCAGCAGTTTAAAATGCCACTGAATGATGCTCAGGGGCTTCTGGGAATAGTGTTTCATCGGGAACATCGGAGGTTTGACAGGCTCATCAAATGTAGCCTTCGTTTCCCCACTGTGAAAAAGTAATTGCTCATGGGATAATGCAAATCTAAAATAACATAATATTCATAGAGGAGACTCCTCCTGTCCTGCACTCCTGATGTATAGAACGAGGAAGGCTTCACAGTGAGAGAAACATATTCTAGCTACTGATAAACTATCGTATGCGACTAAACACATTTAAAGTCATGTTCTTCACGTGGACAAGCGACACCAGTGACGAGCAGCGGAGTGGGAGGACTGGGCGCCGAAATAAAGGGATTACCACGGCGATCTGCTGCGATCCACGTGTATTGACATCCCTGTATCCCTGTGCCAGGGGCGCAGCGCTGCCCAACAGAAAAAAAAACATTTGCAAGCATCCCCAAAAAAAAAACGGCGCGTCTTGGAGAGGAGCATTTCAAACAAGATCTACAACAAGCAATTAATCCCAATCTTTTTTTAATTACCTTCCATCGCGGAGGATGTGGTGACCAGCACGCATAAAAGCGCAAACAAATCCACTGTCATGGCAGAAAAGGTAGTCTCCACGGCCTGTCCCCAAATTACCAAGACGCACGGCGCGCGTCAAAAAAGACTCCCTCAGTTGTCAGAGCGGTACTCCAGCAGATAGCCTGTGTTGTGAGTCACATTTCAAGCCGTAGTAAACAATGTGTGACAATCAGCGCCGGGGAAGAGCGGAGTGTAGGGGCTGAGGGGTGCGAGGAGCAAGGGGGGGGGGGGGGAGGGGGGGGGGGGGGGGGGGGGGGGGGGGGGGGGGGGTACCCGATATTGCCTGCTCAAAGCCCCATTAGAGCGCTGGGGCCAATCAACGGCACAGAGCCGAAACTCGCTAGCCAATCACCGGCCCCGCCGCTCCGCCCACCTCGCATTGTCAAAACACAAAACTTTTCTTGACCTATTTGAAGCGGCGTCCGCTTCACCGAAGGGAAATACCGCCACCACTTGGGTGACTTCCGCTACTGCATAGCAAGCACGCACGGAGCCAAATCCATTCCCCATGGGAGACGATCTAAACGACTGTGTACTGGTCCGGTGGCCTGTCAACCTGTGGTTCACGATAATGCTGCTGTTGAACAATTTATCAGGCTCCCATATGGCCTGTTCACTTTGAAAATGTGTGCTGCACACGAATATCATCCTGAACTAAGACATACAAATCAAATGTCTTACATAAATAATTGGTATTTTACTCTATTTTCATTACTAAAAGGGACTGTTTGCCAACTCCCACACCCCACCCTGTTAACAACAGACATTTTAGAAAAATGTCTGAAGTAGCCCATTGCACGGTCTGGCCCGCCTCTCTCTCCCGTTATGCTCACATGAGTGCAAACATCATTTGCGATGAGGAAGTTCTTTAATAGCGTTAGTGAATCCAACTGCACATCCTAATGATATTAAACAGGCATTGCACATCAGCCTCCCCCCCGTCACCCCTTTTGTGTGCACGTGTGCTTCAACAGATGGTACACACAATGAGCAATTCCCCTCAGGGACACAGGGGGCCGAGGTCTGAGGTCTCAGCAGTAGAAGGGGGCAGTTGCCGCCCTGTGGCCCAGAACCATACACCTGTCTCGGGCTAGATATGCCCCCCCCCCTCCCAGTCTCTGGAGCTGAAGAATTGGGATGGGGTTGTTAATCTACAGCCTGAGTATACCTGGTTTTTACCCGGGGCCACTGGATGGCCTAATACTTCACTGCTGTCTCTTCTCAGCATACTGCCCCAGATACTTTTTACCTGCTTGGGTTGAACAGTCCAAATAATATTTAGCTGATAAAATGAGAGCCTATCTTATTGCACAGTTAGTGCAATAAGATATAGAAGCAGTTAAAGTAGCCACACTTCCCTCTTAAGTATCTGCATCTTTTACCCCCTTCAACAAGCCCGGACTGTATTCTTGCTGCATCTATCTTTTGTGTTCCTTTGCGATTCAACTCCTAACCTTTACAATGACAAAAATCAAACACCTTATAAATCAAAAGTGACTCACACTGAATAACTGGTGGTGTCCAACTGTGGCAAAAGCCAGCAGATGAACTGGAGCAGACGCAGTGCTTCAGAAGCATCAAGCAGCGGTTGCTAACATGGGAAAGTGTAGCTGATGAGAGCATTTGTCATTTTTAATGGCGTGGCGAGGAGTGGCGCTGTAGTGTGACACGGGACACTACAGCACAGCGTGTCCCCCGGTGCTGGCTGGCTGCTTATTTTTCACCGGGTCCGCTCGTCATAACCTATGACTCCACGGGTCTTCTTCAAATACAGGAGCAGCACATTGCAATCAGTCCCTGTTTGCTGTCCACACCCTGTGGAGGGGTGGGGTGGGGGGAGGAGGAAGGAAGAGTATGAGGGGAGGTAGGAACAATAGTGCTGCTGCTGTAGCACATCCTCCCTTACAATACACACATACGGATACAATACTACAAACGTGCGTGCAGCCGCTCACCCACACAGCACTCAGATAATGATCCACACAAAGCCACACAAGCACTTGCCTACTTCAGCTCGAGAGCCTCAGCCCAACACCAGCACTGAGCCCAAAAACATTGTAGAGAGCCTCTCATTCTCTCTGTGGCCTGATTTCTTCTGTGTGGTTAAGCCTGCAAGTGCAGCATCCCAGTTCTATTATCTTTTCTCCATTCCTTTGTTCAAGACCAGATTCCAGACAAAATTTAAAAAAAAGGCAACCTCTCCAGGCGGTTCTCTGACTTCTGTTTGATTTTAATGTTTTTCATTCTCTGCATTCTGTGAGTTGACCCTAAAGTTATTGCCCTTTTGACCTGTAAACATCCAACTGGTATCTTCCTCTCCATGACCAATGTGCCATGACCTTTACATTTCTCCTCCTCTCGGTCCCCTGTTTGTTTCCTGATTCCTGTCCGGCTGCTGGAAGAAAAAATAAAAAGTCACAATTGTTCTGTTTTTCAGTGGAGTCAGGCAGGAAATACAAAACAACATAAAGAACAGAGAGTACCTGCCGCACACAAGGAAGACCTTTTAGGATGAAAAGATGACGTGCAATTTATGGAAACAGCAGTGTTTACTTCACTGCATACTCATTATTTAGATATGTGATATGCAGAGTGCAGGAGGGGGATATAGTTGGTGACAGGAGGGATTCGCACCAAGAAGAGCTGGGTGATTATAATAGCACAGAATGTGAAAGGCAGAAACAGACACACAGGAAAGAGAGAGGTGTGTCCAAGAGACCTTGGGAGCTGGAAAGATTTGTCCGGTGATGAATATGAATGCATGAAAATGAAATGCCTAAGTCAATATGGAGACAGTGCAGGGACCCAGGTGACAGAGGAGCACAGTGCTACCCCCCACCCCGGGGGCTGGACTGGTTATTAGGCTGGGCTTCAGCTTCATCCATCTTCGGGAGTCTGGGCGCCGGCCATTGACAATACAAGTGCCGAGCCAGGGCTGAATACAGATGTGCTCCGGACCGGTGTTCCCCAGACAGAGGGTCAGGACTAGTGAGTCCCAGCCACAGTCGTATGTTCTGGGTCACGGCTCAAGAGGGGCGATAGAAGATATGTTGGTTGCTGAGGGCTGTACAGGCCAAGGCCGGCCTCTTTGCCTGTGCTGTGTTTGTACTGCAAAGGATAACTCCAAAGACAATGTTCTTCAGTGAACTAAAAATGTAATATGGCTGTGAAAAATTCAACCAGTCCCATTCAATCAGCCATCTATAGAAGAATGATATAAAAACAAAAGTTTGAAGGTTAGTGTCACGCTTGTGGTCTCACATAGGAAATAAAGAGTTTCAAGAGCAGAACAACTCTCTGACAGTAGGTCAGACAGAGAGACAGGGCAGGAGCTAAATACAGCACTCTCATTAATCTGCCAATGATGCCAAGACTGATGGTGCCTGTCCCCTGCTATCAGCACACACTTCAGAGACATTCATTGCACTTCTCTGACACGGAGCGACACGCAGAAAAGACACTTCTGTCGACACGAAGACACGCACTCGACCCTATATGCGAGCAGACATGGAAGTACCTATATTTCCAATATTCTGTTAGCACATACAGAACAGGTTTCATAAATGTTTGTGTTTTTGTATGGGGAAACGAGAGAGAGAGAGAGAGAGAGAAGAGGGATTACACTCCAGCTCTCCTTGCAGCATTCTTTGCTTTAAGTATCGCAGTCTGATTAATAAGTCGTTAGCTCACGTTCATCCTATTCAAAGATTCAGGCTCTTTAGTTACCATTAATCACAACAACACAATGAGGAGATTCTGCTCGGCATTGAATGAGTAAGAGCATCATTATAGCTTGCCCTTCGTCAAGTGTGCGCGTGCGAGGATGAGAGAGAGAGAGAGAGAGAGAGAGAGAGAGAGAGAGAGAGAGAGAGATGGAGAACGACTGGGAGTTCGGGCCATGTTCCTACTTGTATTTAGTCTTTTGCGCGCGCGTGCGTGTATCATCATCATGTGCAAACTCGCATGTGTGGCGCGGCTGACTCAAACTGAGAGTGATGGTTAATAGAGTGGTGCCTCCCCCCTCCTCAGTCACTCTGCTCTGTCAGCTGCCATAGGGTTTTTCTGTTGCAGACGATGTTCTGGCAGCGAGCACCCAATCTATCTCTCTAAAAAGGTGCCACCGGTTCTAAAAAAATCAGAATGGAAGACACAAAACATAAAAACCCTGCTAAATCCAACATCATCCAAGCACTAATTTACTGATTAATTATTCTTTACTTGATGGGCATGGTGATTAGGATGTATTCATTTCCTGTGATTAGGGATCTCTAATCACAGAAGAGGTTAATGGGGTTCTCTTGGAGCATTTAAGAAAGCTTCCTATTAACCATGTGGCCTTAGCCCCATCCGGTGTTAAACACCTTTCAATTTATGCACCAACCTTTTTCCACCCACTTCAGAAGAGGTGCTTTGACAAAAAACATTTGACACATGGTAAATTGTTTTTTGTATCCCTGAGCGTGTTATCATGGGTTACTTGAGCGGAGAGGCTCATAAAGTAGTTTCCTGGCTAAAAAAAAGAAACATTTAGGAGGTGGACTTGTTAATGAGAAAAAAACAAAACTAGCCTGACAGCTCATCACTTCACGTCAGCTCCCGGTGACAGCCTATCCCACTCATTCCCCGTCTCGTTGTTTGTTTCGCAGGGACATCATCAGAATGCATCCCTCCGTCTCCTCCGGTCTGTCTTTTTTTTTTTCTTTCTCCCCTCCCCTGGCCTGTGACAGATAGTTCAGTACAATCTATCAACCTCAGCCAGGGCCATTGCTTTGTTGAGCCACATATGGACAGAACACACACACACACACACACACACACACACACACACACACACACACA